CCCCTTACTGACCCCAGCCCTGCCAGTGCCCCTCACTCCCAAACAGCAGTACCCTGCCCCCCCCACTCCCTGCTGGTGCCCCTCACTCCCAACCCACAACCCCCTAGTGCTGCCAGTGCCCTGCACACCCAATTCCACAGTCAGCCATCCCATCCCTTGTGCCTCTTACTCCAGACCCACAGCCCCCTGCCCCCCAGCACTGCTGGTGTCCCTCACTCCCAACCCGCATCCCCCTGGCACTGCCAGTGCACCGCACACCCAACCCACAGTCACCCTTCCTGTCCCCCATGTCCCTTACTCCTGATGTACAGTCCCCTGACCCCCTCCCAGCCCTGGTGGTACCCCCTCATCCCCTACCCACAGTCCCTGCCCTCCCGTGCCCGCCATCCCTGCCAGTGTCCCACACTTTGGACCTGCAGCCTCTGCTCCCCCAGCCTGCTGGTGCCACACACACTCTCTCTTTCTCTTTCTTTCTCTCTCTGTCTCTCTCTCTCTCACCTGGGAGCTTGCCAGAACCTGCGCGGGGAGTGTGTGACCCCCAACAGTCAATCAGGTTGCCCACTGCTGCTGTTACACAAATTGCCAATTGCTCAAATCATGAGTGAGACCTTATAAAGGAGGATAAGTCAAGATACTGCGTGTATTGATTAAGCACTTAATGCACACAAACACACACACACACAACACATTTATACCCCAATTTCTGTTCTGCACTGTTATACATTGCCAGTCTTATCAATACTCAGATTAATTTAGTGGCCAGCCAAGTTGATCACGAGTAGGGAGCCAGGTTCCTGCCAGTTGATCTCGTTAGATGAACCAATGCTCCAGGATAACATGCAGAGCAAGACCCAAAATCGATATGTCTTGCCCCATCTTTTATACCCTTGTCAATTCACACAGTCCTCAGGGCTTTTGTTGTGTTATCACTGTGTTCTTCCTTGAAGGTCAGTTGCCATTGTTCTCTCACTGTTCTTGGTGGATTCTTCTTGTTTTAGTCTTTTATCTGTCTGCATTCTTCAGGAAGTCACCAGCTGATGTTTTCCTTTTTCACAGACACACTCTTACCTATTCTCTCATACACACAGCATACAAATATTGAACACTTATGTCAAGCTACAGAGCAATACAAAATGGAGTTTATTAAGGCAATGCAAAACTCAAGAAAATACATAAGATTAAAAGCAATAGGCAAAAAAGTTGATGTGTATAACATTCCCTTTCTTGATCCTTTAAAATATTTTGTTTTGAATGGATCACTCTAATTTTTGCAAAGCTATATTTTATCAAGTAATTAAGGTATGTGATTTTAATTAAAAATGCATTTATTTCATCCAACAACACATACAACACATTACAATCAGCATTATTCAAGTTAGTATAGAAAAGAAGATAATAGGATGTAACATAACATTTAGGACCGCTATCCATGATGGTGACTGTCCCTTGAAAATATCATACCAATGGTGTATCATCATTTGTCTAGCTTGTTCAGATACCCTCAGAATTTCTGAACCTTGATGTAAAATAGTTACAATACACAGTTGATTTTATTCTTATGTAAGATAGCCAATTTGTGAATTCTTTTGTAACCAATAATTTAAGGTAGTCCATTTGATTCCTAAAGAGAAATGGAAATCAATTCAGTTATTACATCTCCAGGGATGATTTCCTTTAAGATGCTTGCTCAATTCAAAATGCTCAAAAGAAAAGTAAGAAAAACGTAACAATATGCTAATACATCTTAACAAAGCAATAAGCAAAGCTAAGTCAAAATATCCAGGGTTTGTGCCATGCAGTTTCCAGCATTATGTGCAGCTTCTATATATGTATGTTAAATAATCAGTCACGTTAAACTGATCCACGTCCATCACCAACTTCATGGGCTGTTCAAATAAAATTTCATAAGGTTTTATATTGTTCATTGTCCCAGGGACAGTGAGAAGAGGGACCAGGAAGCCCCGCCTGTGAGGCACAGCGTGGAAAAAAAATGAAAATAGAGAAAGGAACACAAAACGACCACTTACCTGCAGGAGGAGCGACACTGGAGGGGTGAAGAGAAGAACCCATGTGGTTTATAAGCCGCACCTTTATACAATTAAAGCCGCTGGGTGATGTCACAGGGACGCACCAGCCAGTGGGGATAAAAGCAGCCACTGGCAGAAAGGCGAGGAGAGCAAGTAAGGAGGCAGAAGCTCTCTGCGCCAGCAACAGACAGAGCCAGCGCGAACTGGGAACTCCCAGACAGCAGGCGGCAGCAGAGGCTGCAAAGACTCCTCTCACCCGGGGTGCCGAGATCGAGCCCCAAAAGGGAAGGAGCATCTGGGGTGACTCACCCATAATACTGCAGGGGAAGCATGGTGGTGGAGATGCCGAACAGTGGCACAATGGGAACAGCGACCTGCAGGAAGAGGCTGAGGTTGAACCCAAGGGAACAGAAGTTCCCCCACCTGGTCGCTCCCAAGTACCAGGCTGGGGAGCTGGGATGGGGTCGGAAAGGGAAGGGGGACCCCAATGGAACCACATCGAAGGAGCACTGCCAAGTATGGGCAGGAGGGTTGGGAGAGCCAGCCAGTAGGACACTGGACTGGAAGGCCCTTTTGGGTTTTTCTTTTTCTTCTTTTCTTCATTTTGTTTTCTTTACTCTTGCCTGACAGGGGCACCCACACTGACCCCAGGAATAGAGCTGACCGGCTCAAGGGGGTTCCAGGCCTAGGGCCCAAGCTGACTGACCATCCTTCCCCAAGGAGCAAGGGGGATACAGTCTAAGGCACAAGGAAGCGGCGATACCATAGAGCACTCATGAGGAACATCCACACTGGAGGGGCGGCCATTTCAAGACCTGGCATCCCACCAGAGGCTGGTGTAGGGGAGGTGGAGCTCCACGAACATCTGGCGAGCAGAGTGGCCACCCCTGAGAGGTCTTTTGAGGCTACCCCCCTTCCATTGGTGTAACATTCAAAGGCATGGCAGGAGAGTTTGGGGGAGGCCAGAGGGACAACCAAAGCCCACCTCGGGGGATCCATGAAGCCAGGGAACGTACGCCCTCTACAGTTCGGGCCAAGGCGGCACATGAGCAGGCATTCAAAGCCAGGGAGGTGCATTCACAAACAGTTATTCTATAATTAAAAGCAATTTATTTATGAAATCTATTTGTAACTTACTTTACGGGCCTCCCCTCCTTTGATAAAATATTAATTAGGACTCAGAAGGTCGGGCCTCTTCTTTTGCACATTGGACATAATTAGCTATCTAAGGTTTCACATCATTTTACATGCCCATCCATTCTGTATTTTGCTTTAATCAATGAAGAGTTTCCTTTACTTCTTTATACAAATACTGATGTACTAGTTTATCAACTCTTGCTTTTCCTGTAAAACGATGGGTTAATGCAGTTTTCACACACATCCTGTTATGTTGGTGTTATAAATAGTATCTAAATACAAATAAGATTTCCTTTATAGCCTTAAAAACATTTCATCAGGTTATTTACTAAACACACCCATATTACTTTTTTAATAAATTCCATTTTGCTAAACAAGTAAACTTTACAACTTAAAACTTTCATATGAATTGCTGTTCTTTGTTTCAAAGATTAGAACAGCTTTCCTGTCCAAACTCAATGAGAAGTGTCTTTGTCTGGGATCCACAGACAAATTCAATTTTTAGAGAGAGTATTACCAATGATTTTTATCACATCTTTATGATATTTATATACATTTAAACTTTTGACAACGTAAAACAAACCAAACGAACCACAACAGGACAAACAACACAAAACAGACAGACAAAACAATTTTTGCTGGGATGATAAAACCATAGCTTAGGTGAAAAAAATGCTGTTGATGGTAATGAGGCCTCATAGTCTTTCAGGCACCTTTGCTATTAGATTGAATCTTACACTATGGTTTCTGCAAAAGAAAACACACAAACATGCCAAGGAAAACTCCTTGCAATAAAATATAATTCATATTTACACATTTACAATGCTGACACGCAGGAACAATGCACAATTCTTGGGATGTTTTTCTTGTATACATACATATATATTAAATGACAAGAGTTATTTACATTTATTTTACTATTTTCAATGGTTCATTGCACAATTTTGGAAATTGGAATTGGGACCTTTACAATTTTTTTCCCAAATGTGAGATCAAGGGATACCAATACCTTTGCTACACTTTAACCAAATTGTCATTTTAAAAATATTTTTTCCTTTTTAGACGGAGAATTTTCCCCCCTGAATTTTTATTAAAAAATCTTTTTCCACATCTTTATTGCTGGGACATTATAAAATATTTAAGGTATTTAGATACAACAATACTATTGTTCCCATGAATATCAATTCCAAATTATACCAGCACTTTTGTGCCAAGGAAATAACCTAAATATTAGCCAAATTCAATATTAAAAATCATTTTACCCCTTCTGCTATAGCTGCTGGAACTTCAGAGTATTTTGTTATACCAGGAGCTGTAACAGTTGTTACTGCATTTAAGGCTCTGAAGTTTATTGTCAGTTTTCAGGTTTTCTTGTTTGCCCCCAAAACAGACCAGAATTAGGGAACTATACATATTAAACATCTATACTATCATTTCCTAAGTTAAACCATCTATTATAACTCATAGTAGATAGTTTATTTCAGCTGCTAGTTAATATTTACACTGCCTTTGTGGGGGAGAAAGTTTGATTTCTCATTTAAAACACACACCCATATCCTACCACATGTAATTCTTTCTGCCTGAGCCTGAAGAAATGCCTTCATTTACTTGTCTTGATTAACTCCATCAGTTACAGTAAGAGCCTTAATAGCTAACACTGAGTTTTTAGAACCATCTTTTTTGTCTTAATAAGCTGTTAACACTTTCCTTTCTAAAAAATTCACACTATTTCTGGAAAGTGAGGGGAGGTAAAAAACAAACAAACTCTTTCTCACCCCCTTTACCAATGAGATTACAGATACTTACACTTCCAGAAATTTCTTGGCCTTGCAATACACACACAGAGCAAACATATTACACTGCTCACATTCTCTATTTTGCACCAACACCTTAGCAGTCTTTACGAAGCCACTCACTCGTTAGGCTCCTTAGGCTCTATTTCTGTTACAAACATTCACAGTTTCCAGCACAGGGCTTAATTTTCTTTGCTACTGACTTCTTATGGGACCAGCAAGAGAAGGTATTTTACTTAACCACCTCGAACACTCTCTGAGATCAAGTTACAACTCTTTTTCAAGGTTGCTATATTTCTTTCTGCTATAAAGCAATTATTTCTAAAATTTCATTCTCGCACTCTCTTCTGCTCTCGTCTCAATGTGGCACCAAGGTGTATTTCTGCCACACGTCTCTTTTCCTTGATCTTCACCAAAGGTTCTTCTGTTGGGGTATGCTCCCCTTAGCCTTTTCTCAATGAAGGGTAACCCACAAGGTGGTGGGAGCTAGGGTTTTAAGGCACCCTATATTTGCCCCTGCCCATTCCCCAGGGTGATTATTATGCAGCATTTTGCAGAAACTACCCGGCTACGGGTAGCTCCACCACACTGGCCACACCCAAGAGGGTGGCAGTTTCAAGTCATACCCAGGACCAAACTTTCCACTCTCCTGCTGTGACCTTACCTAACTTCCAGGTTTCCTTTCTTTTTCCAAATCTTAACCGTATCCTTTACTGGTCTACAGGCTTCACAATCCATTCTCATCAGTGGCCCCTTTCTTGTCTTGCTCTTTGCAAACCAATATATCCAGCAAATCTTGATCTTTCTCTCACAGCTTGTCAGTTCTTACAACACACACACAAGCCAGAAAGCTTTGTTCTAGGACCAAGAAAGCTCCCTCTGAAAGATTGCATGTGATGGATTACATACCACACACAATCCCTGTGGAGAAGCTCCTCCTACCTCTAAAAACGAACCCCCAAACCATGCACCCCTAGAGAAAAGCAAAACAAAACTATCTCTGATAACCTCACTCTTTCTTTCTCTGCCCAGAGTAACTTCTGGGCACTGATCTCTGTTTACACAGCTGTAC